CATTTTGACCTTCGCCAAGACCTCTTCTAAATGGAGCTGACCACCACTTTGTACGTACCCTCGTGCCAAAAAGAAAAAAAATAAACAGGCTTGGTAGAGCGGACTTTCACTGAGTCCCTCTGCCTCATGGGTGCATGGGCAAAACAATAGCCAGATGCAACGCTCTCAAGTGGAAGGGTTGACCGAGTGGGACCAGGATACATCGCCCGGGCATCTACCAGGACCAGGGTCGGGACCCTCAACTACCCTGGCAAAGCAACGGCGTCCCGGGTTCAGTAGCTCAGGGGTGGTTCGCTATCGTCATCAAAAGTCAGGTTGTGTTACACGTCCTCCTGCCGACCGCGCTCTGGCGCTGGCGGCTCTGGGGAATTTAGGAGGAATTCTTTGGTTTTGATTCGCTGAGGAAAGGTAGCCCAGTTTCTCCTCCACTTCCACTTTCACAAGTAACATGTCGGCTGCATACCTCTAGGGTTACATACCTCTACGCTTGCTTATTACTGGGCTGATTCCTGCCCTACTTCCAGTCCGGCACGCTAGAGGGATAGCTTTTGGCCAGTTTCTCGAGTTTCTACGGTAGTTTTGTGAATTCAGGTCTGCGCTGGGACTACATGTACCTTAACGACCTTTTTGTACTTTCCAACTGCCAAAATATTTCAGAAAGCTATTTTCGCGTGTACCGAACAACGCCTTAACATCCTCATATCATCCCGTACTTCATTAGTGCCTTGCCCCGCCTTGTCCGCCAACCCGCCGCCATCTAGTGGCCGCCTCCAAGGAATTCAGTATTGCAGCGAGAGCTTTCTACATCCCATTGGTGAGCCTTTTGATCACTCATTATGGCGAAGGTGACAATCGCCGGACCCACTTGACGGCCAAGGTCTGTGTAGCAGGGCTTCCAGCAGTGATTATGTGAAAGATCACGAACAACAGCGGGACTGATAGCCTCTGAGCCTCAGATACTGCAGGGTGGGGACTCTGCATTACATACTCGTGTGGGTGTACATCCCAAGGGAGGACACTGCCTTGCCTTGCCTCTCAGTGAAGTGATGGTTTCTGCCAACACATTTTGTTCACTTTTGTTTGGTGGACCAGACAGCTACCTCCACATCCGGCGGGAGCGGGCGTAGGGAGAGAGTACCGGGTGGGTTTGCGATACCCTCCATGCCTGGCTTGTATGAGGGCTCGAATCGCCTATCACACCCCTTGGCCCTGCTAAGGAGTGTGGTCCAATGCTAAGGGCGATTCGAGCCCAGACGAGTACTGCCGGTGCAGGGTGGAGACTCTGCAGTACAATCTAGCCCTGGTATGTTTGTTAGTTTGGTACAAAAAACGCCCAGTTCCACCTTTCGAACTAGAGAGTGAAAAAGTATTCGGGCTTCGAGCGGATGGGTGCTGTAGGAGACTGCCTTTTTATATCTTCTTATTCTAAAGGGCCTTGAAAGAGATGGAGAGAGGCATAAGAGGCTTCTGTGGCGTTTTTTACCCTGGTCACAATGTTAGCGCCTTCAAACGAAAGCCAGAAGAAGGCCAATGAGAGCTCAATTTCTCCCCTGTTCGACCCAAGTTCGAAGAACCAAACTAACAAACAAACCAGTCTTATATTGTACAGTAATGTCCCCTGTTAATGCAAACGATTCCGGCAGCCAAATTTTACAAAAGGGGGTTTTTGTAAAAGGGGGATCTCGTGCACAGACCATATAGCGGCTCTTTGGCTACTTAAGATCGTTGCCAGGCCTAAAGTGGGTTACTTAGGATAGTCGGACCCCCGGTTTATAGGTATAAGTATTCCCGCTCACTAAAATCAAGCCTCTATTAATATAAATTTGGGCCGTCACAGTTGCAAATAGCAGTTAGCAGTCCGGGCCACCAGAGGGAATGCAGGCAGTCGAAATCCTTAGCAAAAGGGAGGGTTTTAGCAAAAGTGGAGGTGAGCATTAACAAGGGACATTACTATACTACAGAGTAGGTTTCGAGTGGGGTTCTCCCTCTTGCCATTGACCTTTTACGATAGATTGATAATGCTATACTATATGGAGAAGACAGGAGAGAGTAGGAGAGGAGAGCGGAAGGTCTAGACACCACGACCCCACATGCGCCCACCCCCTAACATGCGCCCACTTTCCATACCGCGTTTTCTCCTCCCCTCAATCAATCCATCTATCTATCATCAACTATAACTTCACGAAATCAAGCCCGATCGCCCTGCTTTCTATTGCAATGAGCTCGTCTTTGATCGACCAAGCGCTTGAAGCTATTCGTGACGGCCTTTCCCAGCGTGCAGCCTCGAAGAAATATGAGATTCCCAGGTCCACCCTCCGCGGTCGTCTAAAAGGCTGGCAAAGCAAGCGCGACTCGAAAGTCTACACCCAGAGGCTATCACCAACCCAGGAAACCTTTCTATACGATTGGATCTTAAACGAGGAGAAGGCTGGCCGTGCTCCCAACCGTCGTCAAGTCGCTAGGTTTGCTACATCCATCCTTAAACAAGGCCATAATTGTCACAGGGTTAGCCTGTGTCGCATGTGCCAGTGTTGGTTGCTTCTAAGACTATCACAGGATTACCTGTGATGGCACTGGTGATGCGCTGCACGATTGGCACAGCCATCGAGTCTCTATTGGCCATTGGCCAATAGGATCGCACGCATGCAGGCACCAGTGGGCCTCAGTCTGGATCCAGGGCATGGCTCAGCCCTACCCTATATCCAGACCGTACACCTCCCTCTCTTCCCTTCCTCTCTCCTCGTACAACTACGTATGTCACATCTACCCCCTACCTCGCCCTGCACCGTGATAAAGACAACCATCACTGTCTGCTCTAATTGGCCAATGGCCTCCCGCTGTGGACCCACTAGGGTTCACGGCTCGAGTCCCATAAAGGCCAATCTCCCGAGCGCACATCTACACTTCTCTCCTTTCCTCTCTTTGTACAATTACGCATATCCAACATCTACACCCAACCTTCCTCCCCTTTGCCCGTAATAATAATGTTGACCCTCTAGGCGCCAGATGGATAGATCAGTTTCTGAAGAGAAATCCCAGTATCAAAACCAAACTTTCGAGCAAACTCGAGTTGGTTAGAGTTAGAGGATCTACTAAGGAAGCCTTCACGAAGTTTTTTGACCTTCTAGAAGTCCAGATTCGAGAAAAGGATATTATCCCAGCCAACATCGCTAACATAGACGAACATAGGCTTCAAGAATTAGAAAGTAAGGAAGGAAAGGTCCTTGGGACTGCCCTGACAAAGAAGGCATACATAATATTAACGGATGCAACGACTTGAGTATCTATAATTGAGTGCGGGACCGCTAAGAGCAAGCGGTTAACACCTGTTATTATCTTTACAGGTGCGAGCTTGCAGGGCTAATGTCACAGGCATTGCCTGCTCCATTGTAGATAGGTGCTGTGCTGCATTAGTGCAGCCAGCTGAGTGCAGCTGTCTGAGTGCAGCACAGCTGTCTGGTGTCACGCATGGTGCCGCCCTGTGGACCCATGGCCACAGGGCTCCACACTATGCTCTACATAGCTTTCGTGTGCGCACAGGATCCTCTTCTGGTTCCTCGCACAACAATCAACATCTTACCTTAGTGCTTGCTCGCGCCCCATGATAGCTAATAGTTCTCAGATGAAATGGATGACGAACTTAAGACTTGGAAGTACGACAGCTCCCTTACCGGTTGGAGTAATGCTCAGGTAGCCTTATGATGGCTGAGGGAGGTTTATCTACCAGAAACGAAGCCTAATAGTGATGCTTGGCGCCTTCTGATCCTCGATGAGCACTCCAGCCACCTGACTGACGATTTCCTTATAGAAGCCTTCTGTTACAGAGTCTAGCTCGTTTTTATACTTCCTTATACCTCGTATAAGACTCAGCCTCTCGATCGCTCTATCTTTTCAGCTGTTAAGTCGTATTTCAGAGATACAACGAAAGATTTTGCCTCCTTTCCAGCATCTGTACTAGTAAATAAACAACGGTTTCTTAAGTGTTATCAGGAAGCATCACGATAGGGAGTAAGCTCCAGAAACCTCAGATCAGGGTTCAGAAAGACAGGAATATGGCCAGTGAACAGATCTATCATCATCAACGACCCCGAGGCTATCCTTGACGACGATGCCAGGCCCGCCGTCCCCGACGAGCCTCCTAGAGCTAGAACACTACCTATATTAGACCTTTTTAATTGGAACGTTGTCTTCAAAACTCCTAGGAAGTCTAGAGATGTGCTTAATGCTATCTACAACAAGATATCTGTTCTTGATCGCGATGTTCGAACTGTTATTACTAAGACAGCAAAGACGATCGATGATAACGCTATTGAAATCGCTACTCTTCATCATAAGGTGCAGTATCTGGAGACAGAGCTGGCCTCTCAGAAGCCCAGAACTAAAAGGAAGGTTAAAGAAGGGGGTAATGATAGATTTGCACGTATAGAAGATATCATGGAGGCTCAAAAAGTGTTCCAGAAACCCCCTAAGCGCCAGAAGGTTTCCCAGCTACCAGATGGAGTAATTTCAGTGTCAGAAGTACAGCAAGCACTTGCACATTCACTGGCAGTTATCGAAGAGCATCAAGAATAATATATCTACATTTGAAAGGGTGGAAAACCTAGCAAAAGTGGCCAGTTTTCGATGTTGTCGGATATGTGGCCATGTTGTTACAGGTGGGCCATTGAAGGGGGTGGGCGCATGTGGGGTCGTGGTGTCTAGAGGTCTAGAAACGGTGCGGTCTGGGCAGGACACGGCACGGCACAGATTATGTAACTGGCCCAGTGCCTGCAGGACCCACCAACATTATGGACTGGAAACTGTCACCGTAATAACTTTACGGCACGGATTGCTAGTTATTGACAGGTCATTTAGCGACGCAGATACACAGATTACTCACACATGATGATATAACCGGCAAACATGGAATGTCTAGAAAGACGTCTTCTGGGTAGAGGTGGGAACTCCATTTGTTCCAAACCTCATGAACAAGGATACCGCTTGTTTTCTCCAACTCAAATGGGCAATTGGTCTAGTGGTATGATTTCCGCTTCGCATGTGGACTTGTTCGAGTGACATACATTGTGGTTCAATCCCGGTATTGTCCAATTCCTTTTTTTTCGGTTTCCGTTGACGTCGCGATCTTTTTGCAGGTCTTTTTCGTTAGAATCTCTGGTAGATAAGATGCTAAGTATTTGCGTCGTCCGTGAATACCTTTTTTCACCATACGCTGAGGAAGACTGATCATGCCAAACGTCGCTGTAAATTGCGGGGAAGTGTGTAGTGTGAACTTTCACACTTTGTTACGAACAGCTTTCCTTTCAGGTCTCAAACACAACTTAAACCCAACAACTTCCACCAACATACACAAGTCAACTTTGCCGGAATGGCTCGCTCCGAAGAGGCACAAGCCTTTTTCCACGCCGTTTACAGCGCCGTGCAAGAGATTCCGCATGGAAAAGTCACCAGCTACGGCCACATTGCAAAGCTGGTTGGGACTCGTATGCAGCCTCATCCCGATACCACCACTCTGACTCCTCCTTTCCGAGCCGTACAAGTGCAAATGCTGACGACGAACAAACAGCGCAACGTCCCCGGCAAGTAGGCGTCTGCCTCAAACATCTCCCTCTTGACCCGTCAGCCCGGTTCAACCATGAGAACGTACCGTGGCAAAGGGTGATCAATGCCAAAGGGATTATTTCTCCGAGGTATGTGAAACTTGCAAGGGCAGGTTGAACATGCGTTCAAATCATGGCTGCTTGATGGATGGGCCACAAAGAGGTAGACCTACAGTGTCATGGATCGGGCACTGATAACCCATTTACAATAGATCTCAGCCAGAAGGGTCACGCAGCCAAGCGGCGGCATTGGAGGCCGAAGGCGTGGTTGTCACAACGGGGGCGCTGGGAGAGCTCATGGTTGACTTTGCAGAGTATGGATGGTTCCCAAGGACATTGCCGTCGGAGGAAGGAGAGGAGCTGGAATCTGGTGACAGCGAGGAAGACGAAAGCAATGAGGACTAGCTACGAGAGGAACAACAGCACGGGTTTCTCAAAACATGGTCATAGCGGAGAGGTGATGTCACAATGTTTACGAAGAGCGATGAGACAAGATTATGAAGATGATCAAATGTCATTGATGGCTATTCTGCAGTGCACCGAGTGACGATGACTTTGCATATTCCAGCGAGCCTCGAGCGGTGTCTGTTGATGATAAACTGTCTTGGAGGTCCGTTAGTAACATAGCTCGCATCAAAAGAATGATAAACATGGACAATTGTGATGATGCTTTCTCATATAGCGGTTGGACAAGTTTTTCCACATAGTGTTTCGGTACAGGTCTGTGAACATTGTTTTTCTAATCATAAAAAGCAAGGAGGGGTCGGTGTAGAAGAAAACAGGGAGGCAACATACCAAATTGGTGACACCGATCAATCAACACGTCGCTTTTTGGCGGCGGGTTGGAAGAACGAATCCATCGTCTTCTGCTTACTGTCGAACTTGGCACTGCCAATCCCGCCTCTTGTCCTTTTCAGGCCTTGGAGGTGGTCAAGGGCGTTGACCCGGACGACAGTCAGCCTGACAGCTGACTTCTCGGTATCCTCGGACGACGGGATGGCATCCACGTTCATCTCAAGGTATCCAGTGTTGCTCCAAGTAGCGAGGAACTCTGACCTTCCAGCAACAGAGCCCGACGACGACTTGACGTTCGCAAGCCTCGTCATCTCTTGCGGGGCATAACGCGCCAAAAGAGACCTCAAGAGCGAGTTGAGTATCAAGCCATGCGCGACAACCACGACGGAGGTGGATGCCTTGGGTATACTGTCCAGCAGCGGACTCAAGTGGGCTTGGATGAAGGCGGTGGATCGCGCGCGCATCTCATCGTGCGTTTCAGCATCAAGATGCGGCGTGCCAAAGCGCTTCCCCTCGGCGGATCGGAAATCGCGTTCGCGGAGCTCGACAACCTGGACCAGTTGGAGCTTCCGACTATCCGGATCTTCCTTCTCTGTTGTCTTTGTCGCCTGGACGTCGACAATGGCCTGGGCAGTACTGGCTGCGCGTTGCAGATCGGAAGAGAAGATGTGTGTGACAGGACCGATTGAGGACGACCGCGAGGCGAAGTGGGAGGCTAGACGACGGGCCTGCAAAACACCGTGGGTTGTGAGGGGGGAATCACGGATGCCGGCGCTGGGGAATGTTAGACAACGACGTCCTTGAAGACATGGTGGACCGAATTTGATTCAACGTACTATAAACCGGCCACGTTGTCGACGGTCTCTCCGTGTCGAACAAGGAAGAGCCGCATGTTGTTGAAAGATGATGAAGGACGCAACGAAAGACAGCCATATGCCAATCGTCCCAGTTGTCCATGTTCAGGTGGCGGATGAGGAAGTCATCATGGCCGGAATGGGATTAGACAAACCGCGGGAAGCAGTTGCTGTCAATCGCCCAAATGAATGGTGATTTCAGTTGTGAAAGGGGAAAAAAGGGAAGAGAATTCCAAGCAGAAGCGGCAGCAGCAGAAAATTTTAAAAGGGCACAGCTCAAGTGGGGCACAAACAGAATGCCGCTGTCCGGGCAGGGTCCTCCCCGCCTGGAACGTCCACTAACTGGACTCCACCATTCATTAATAACAGTGCTGCCGATAAAGAACTGATAAGGAATCAATTTCCCAAAAAATTCTGGACCGCTACAGCTCCAGGCGAACTGGTCGAGGACTGTGCCAGAGGGACCGGCTTCCACTCTTGCGATTTGCATCTTTCAACACTCAGAATACCGTACCGTCCATTCTCCAGCCGCCAAGATGCCCAAGAGAAAGGTCGCCGCGCTCGAAAAGGTCGATGCTGACCTGGTCAGTTTGCAGTACAAGATCAGGAGGGATCCCAAGTAAGTTTGTTCTTTTTGTTCCTGTCGTCGCCAATTGCTGCTGCCATGCATTGCTGTTTACTAACACCACGGCCTTGTCCTCCTCCTCCTCCTCCAGATCATATGCCCAAGAGTTCTACGACCAGTGGCTCGCATACGACGCCCAACGACAAATCTTCATCTCGTCTCCCTCGTCGGCCTCCAGCGAAGACAACAAGAAATTCCACGATCTCGTCGACCTCATCGCCCACTGCGCCGATCTCTACCCCGATGTCACCGCCCCCTACTACGACCAGCTCAAGGACCTCTTGACCCAACACCATGCCGTCCTCAACCCCGATCTCCGCGAAAAGGTCGTTGGCAGCTTGTCTCTCCTCCGTCGCAAGGATGTCATCGACTCGACCAGCCTTCTCACCACCCTCTTCCCCATCCTGATCTCGACCCCCTCCAAGTCCCTCCGCTCCCTCCTCTACACCAAGATCATCAGCGACCTGCGCGAGTCCAACTCCAAGGCCACCAACCACAAGCTCAACCGCACCATCCAGACCGTCCTGCACAACCTCGTCACCTCGGACCGCACTTCGACCAAGGGCATGTGGGCCTGCCGCATCACCCGCGAGCTGTGGCGCCGCCAGATCTGGACCGACGCCCGCCCCTGCGACGTCATGAAGGAGGCCTGCTTGTCCGACAACGAGAAGGTGGTCGTCGGTGGTGTCCGCTTCTTCTTGGGCGGCGACAAGGAGCGCGAGGAGATGGAGGACGACTCTAGTGACGAGGAGATTGACGTTAAGAAGGTCAAGCATCAGGGCACCATCAACAAGAAGACCAAGAAGCGCCAAAGGGTCATGGAGAAGGCCATGGAAAAGATCAAGAAGCAGGAGCGCAAGAAGCATGCCCCCCATCCGCTAAACTTCTCGGCTCTTCACCTCATCCACGATCCCCAGGGCTTCGCCGAGCAGCTTTTCCAGAAACATCTGCAAAACACAAAGTGCAAGTTCTCTCTGGATAACAAGCTGCTGGTCCTCCAGCTCGTCACCCGTCTGGTCGGTCTGCACAAGCTCACCATCATTTCCTTGTATCCGTGGTTCACCAAGTACCTCTCGCCCAAGCAACCGTCCGTCACGTCGTTCCTCGCCTCTTTGGCGCAGGCGACACACAACCACGTCCCTCCCGACGCCGTCGAGCCTCTCGTCATCAAGATTGCCAACGAGTTCGTCTCTGAGGCTTCCGCCGCTGAAGTCGCTTCTGCTGGTATCAACTCCATCCGCGAAGTCGCTCTGCGCCAACCGCTCTGCATGAGCGAGACCCTCCTCCAAGATCTAGTCATGTACCAGAAGTCCAAGGACAAGGGTGTAGTAATGGCCGCCAAGGGGCTCCAGTCTCTCTACCGTGAGGTCTACCCCGAGCTGCTGCAGAAGAAGTTCCGCGGCAAGGAGGCGACCATGGGATTGAAGTCGGGCGAGGTCAAGAGGCTCAAGTTCGGTGAAGAGCAAGTGGAGAGTGGCATTGAGGGTATCGAGCTTCTCGAGAAGTACAAGGAGGAGCAGAGACTCAAGAAGCTCGCCGAGAAGGGTGAGGACGCCGATGGGGACGCCAAGATGGAGGATGAGGATGAAGACGGGTTCAACTCGGACGAGTGGGAAGTCGCCTCCAACGATTCTGACTCTTCAACCGGCTGGATCAACGTCGAGCACTCGGACGACGAGGACGAAGGGCCCGCAGCCAAGAAGCAGCGTCGCGACAGCTCAGTGGCTCCCGACCTCATCTCGGACGAAGCCATGGCCGCCGCCGCCGAAGCCAACCGCATCTCCAAGCTCGCCATGACCACCATCCTCACGCCCGCCGATCTCGCCAAGCTGGCCGAACTCCGCCGGGAGGCCCAATTAGAGAAGATGACAGGCAACGTCTCCAAGAGGAGACAAGAACTTATCAACAAGCACATCGAAGACGGCGTTACCGCCGACGACATCGAGTTGCCTGCGCAGATTGGCAAGAAGAGCACCAAGGAGGAGCGCGTGGCCATGGCCAAGGACGGTAAGCCCGCGCGCGAGGAGCACAAGTCTACGCAGGCCATCAGGAAATCCAAGAAGGAGGCCGAGGGCAAGTCGTCGACGAATAAGGAGAAGGCGAGAAAGAAGAACTTTTTGATGACGGTCGGTAAGGCGAAGGCAAAGCATAAGAGGTCGTTGGTCGATACCAAGAAGCGGTTGACGGCGCATATCGCTAGGAGTAAGAGTGGAGGA